GTGTGTGTGTGTGTGTGCATGTGTGAGTGTATGTGTATGTGTGTGTGTGTTTGTGTGTGTGTGCATGTGTAAGTGTGTGTGTGTGTGTGTTTGTGTGTGTGTGTGTGTGTGTGTGTGTGTGTGTGTGTGTGTGTGTGTGTGCGCGCGCGCGCGCGCGTATGAGCGCACAATTCCCAAAGGTGAGCCCAAGAGGAGTGCCTCTTTGTCTCTTTCCGAGAAAAACAACACAAATAGAGAATTTGTAGACAACAGAAAGTTTCAATCTTGAAATGGATGAATATGCGCCGCTTCTGTTTTGAAAATATTACATGTATAGAACGATGTACGCAACATAGGCGACACGTGTACATCTAATGTACGGAATAGTGACAACAATTATTTTGGAAGTTTTGGATTTTTATAACATCGGGCACCGACTTTGCTACTGACAGATTGAGCAGGTGCACCGAAACTGCATAACATCTCTACGTTTTGACAAGATAGATGTGCCATACCCCCTCTCCTTCTCCCTCTCTTATGCTTCTTCTACGTTACAGTTGCTGTCAACAATTGCTGCCCCCCCCCCCTGTCAAATCCTAACAGATTGGCGCCATGTGACGTGTACAATGTTGTGCACGTGAAATGTTAGCTATAATATTATTAAAACACGATTATGATAGCGATTGATTTGTATTTGGTAGACTGCTGCTATGCGGTGATGCTGATGGTGTTGCTGCTGCTGGTGAGTTTGACAGTATAACTGCGTAGATGTTAATAAAGAACATAATTCTTGATTAAAAGTGGAAAATCCTTTTTTAAAAAGGGTTAAGATAAAGAATAATGTTTCTTGAAGTTAATGTTAGTGCTATCGTCCTCTGCTTCATTGAGTCATGAGAAGGGCACCCTCTATATCCAGTTCCTAGTGGAACCATCAATGATTTGTCCCCGAAAATTTGCCAAAATTGTGGGTTCAGTCTTCGTTACGGTGACTTAGTGTTAGTCTATGCTACCAGGTCAAAAGTGCTGTATATGATAATGATAGGTTGTATGGGAAGGCAATAAGAAAGATTAGATTTAATATGACCGTGTAGACAGTGGAATTGAACGGATGGTTATGAAATTTGAATTTTGAGAAGCTCGAGGTGCTTTCTCGAGCATGTGTTTGTTTTCTTTCACCTACTAAAGATCAAATGGAGATTCTAACAATAGACCCTCAAACCCATCACGATGAAGCACAATGAACACGAAAAATTGCCTTCCTTTGATACAAAGGGAGCGTATACAATTGCTGCTACATTTTCTTTTCATGTCAACTTCAGAGACAATTCTTCCAACATGATTGTCCATGCACATGACAGTGAAAAAATATAAGACCCCCCCTCCCCCGTCACACACACACATACTCTCTCACACACACACACACACACACACACACACACACACACACACACACACACACACACACACACACACACACACAAATACATTCATCAATCATCGATGCTTTTCACCCCTGGCACGGTATAGGCCACATACAAGCTCCTTCCATTTATCTCTATCCTGGGCCATCCTTCCTAGCTCGTTCCAATGAGCTTCATCTCTCTCATGTCCCTTTCCACACGTCTCCTCCATGTCTCACGCGGCCTACCCCTGCCTCGTGCTCCCTGTGGGTTCCATTGCAGCGACTGTCTTATGATGTTTCCGCTGGGCTTTCTGAATGTGTGTCCCGTCCAAAGCCACTTTCTTAGTCCTATTTCTACTTCTATTCCTTTTGTCCTGTCCTTTCCCATAGCTCTTCTTTTCTTATTCTATCCTGCCGCTTAATTCTCAGGATACTCTTCATACATATCTGTTGATGAAAGTTTGGACTTTATTCAGCACTGTCCTTGTTGTCTTCCAAGTTTCGCAGCCATAGAGGAGCACAGACTTGACCTTGGAATTAAAGAGTCGAATCTTGGTGTACAATGGGATGTTGCTTGCTTTCCAGACTTTTGATAATTGCTTGAAAGTTGACCTTGCCTTGGCGGTTCTTGCTTTAACATCTGCCTCAGTTCCACCTTTACCATCGATGACACTTCCGAGGTAGGTAAAGGAGTCCACATCTTCTAGGGGAGTGTCTTCCACTCTCACAGCAGGGCTTGACACTTTTCCTAGCTTCACTACTTTCGACTTGCCCGGGTGTATACGTAGGCCAACACTCCTTGATAGGCTGTTGAGTTCCTTGATCTTTTCTTGCATCTGAGCATGTGTGTAAATACATTACGCCCCCCCCCCCTCATTTTTTGTTTTGTTTTCTGGAAAGTGTTTTACGGCGCTCGCAACTGCATAAGGTCATATGAGCGCGCGGGACACATTATACTTTTTCCATTTGGTAGGAAATTTTGAATTTTGCCCTGGTGGCGGCCGAAGCCTACTTTTGTCGATTTTAGACCACCAAAGGATCTTTAACGTGTACAACTAGCACACGGGCCCTCCGAGATTTTTCGCTCTTGTTCGAGAAGGCTAGGTGTAGATCTTTCCTACCAGAAGATCAGGGGTGTGGCTGAAAGACAGCAGTAAAAAGGAGCCAAGGAGTAGCAGTTGAAATTTGGCTGCAGAAAAAGTCAGGAGCCCACACCGAGGGGGCAAAGGAGGTGAGGGGGTGAGGGCAGAAAGTGGAGACGAAAGCAGACGACAGAACATTGTTAGAGAGCAGGAAAATAGGTGAAAGGAGACAATTTTAGAGAATAAAATGTTTCTGTCGCTACCCGGATTCGAACCTGGGACCTTTGATGAAAGGCCAACACTTTAACCTCTAGGCCACGAGAGCCCCTTAACAAACTAAACCTATAATAATGTCTAACAACATAAAAGAAACCCAAAAACCTCTAAAACCCGATTGTATTGACACAACAAAAGCATACACCCTCCCGTTAAAAAAAAATCATAACAAATTACTTACAAACCTGCAATAATAGTAGATAGGCCTACATGTATAATGATGATGATGATGATGATGATGATGATGATGATGATGATGATGATGATGATGATGATGATGATGATGATGATGATGA